TTTTGAAATTTTGTTTTGTCTTTTGTAAAACAACCAGAGTACATTTTAGCTATACCCTACCCAAGGCTTGTTTTCATCAAGTGATTGATTTTGCAACCATACCCTTTATACTTTTTTCTATTAGAAAGCACTTGGTGTGGTTAATAGTACATAGAAATAGAGAAAGGAGGATGCGAGAAAATGCATTCACCACAAAGTGACATTCTCAATAATTAAAGAGATAAGTATACAGTTAAAATGAGGCGAGTGAAAGAAAAGCAGAATTAGGAGGTGGAATCAGTAGGTCCAACGCTTTACAACGAGGATCAAAATCAAAATTTCCCGAAAATGGTGTTATACATAAACTCAATTAAATACAATTTGTGGCTGACCGATTAATCTTCCAGGCAACACTGCATCTATTACCATCTGCGACTGAGGGCAAAAACGCTCAGCCCCTCTCTCTCTCTCTATCTATCCTTGGGAGCAAGAGAGGAGAGTGTAATGAAGAAGTAACTGTAGGCCATATTCATACACTTAATCCATCAAAACCACACTGCTTGTATGTGAGAGCTTGTTTTCTTGGGCTGATTGCTATCGTGCAATCCACAGACACCTGCCCATTCCATACACAAGTAAACAGTAGGGTTTAGAAAATAGTTATGAACAAATACTACATTATAACAGAGTTAGTAGTATTAAAAAAAATTTATTATCATTTGCACAACACGGGATACTATGTTATTATTATTATTGTGTATTTTCTTGAAAATTACAGTTATTATTATTATTATTATTTTAAAAAAAGAGTAAAGCATAATCCACAAATAAACCATAAAACAACAACCGCACCCTCCCTCCCTATCTTCCGCCAGGAAACAACAACATTGTGAAGGTTTTCATGAAACTGTTGCTGCCGTGGTTGCCTAGTGCAGCGCATGTTAATTTTCTTTGTCTTGTTGCGAAAATTGAAAATTAACCCAAAGTAATTGGAAGAGAACAAAATGTACGATCAAAACATGTACAACGACCGCCATAAAACACTCCTAAATGTTGTCCCAGTAATGTTCAAAATAATGGGCATCACGATGAAGGGTCCCACTCCTCCCTCCATTATTGATCTTGGCTTTTCACAAAACCACACCTTATAAAATATAAACAAAGAAAAATATAATATAATATTCTACATAAATTATTAATCCAACCGCTCCCCACTTCCACTCAATGAGACTGTCCATGTTTCCCCTGTGTTTTTACCATTTCATACTTTCTCAGTCAGCAGGCAATACTTGTTCTCTCCTTGATTTCCTCATATATTAGGAAAACAACCCTTTCCGTTTTGTCCTTCTTTGGATGTAAAATTGTGGAGTGAAAAGTAAAATATGGACCAATATTTCTTTTTTACAGCCAAAACCTAGTGAAAAAGTAAGAACAGAGGGACAACTCCAAACTCCAATTTTTCCCATTTCAAAGAGGTGCATATATGCTTTTAATAGTTAAAAATGCTACAAACAAAAAATATTGGGTTAACATATGCCAAGGAGTAGGTGCTAATACAATAAGTAATGTTACTTGCTTCAATAATTTTATTTTAGGCAACAAAATACTTTTTGTCCTTTAATTCTAATTTTTAGTGTAGATTTAGTAATTCAGTTATTTATAGCATAAATTTTAAAAATCTATTACATGCATGGACACCCTTAATCAAACTCTTGATATTACAAGCATTGATAAGACATCTTTATCATGTGGGTCTAAAAAAAAAAGTATCTTCGACAAGGATTTGAGTAACACAAGGACCGACCATGATCACAACTACGGAATTAAAAGTATCATTTCCTCTAATTTTAAAATATACATTTTTTATATTTTAAAATTAGAGAAATTAAAATGACACTTTTAATTCCGTAGTTGTCACAGAAAAATTGCTAGACGACCAAAAAAGGCACAAAATTAATACTGAGGATGAGAAATGGTCGGTTTGAAAGTTGAGGATCAAAAGTGGCAAAACTATAATATTTGGAAAACCAAAAATGATATTAACACTATATATATATATATATAGTGAATGAAAAAAAAATGTGTTTATATATATATAATGGGTCACGAGAGAAACCCGGTGTGTGTTTGTGTATATATTCATATCTGTATATGTATAATATATAGTCCGTATGAAATTAGCACTACTATTTCCACTATGTTGGGGAAATTGCAAGCCTAAACCATAACTACTGCACTCAAGGCAATTCATTAACCACCCCCCTGGCAACCGTAGACCCCACGAGTAAACAAAAAATATTCCGCGGCTAGAATTCGCACATAATAAAAAGACCAAAAACTGAGAAAAGTGAATGCAGGAGCGAGGCGCATTCTAGCAAAAGCAGAAAGTGACAGTGGTACATGTTAGCAAACGCAGATAGAGAGAGAGAGAGTGTGTGTGTGTTTCATATTGGTGTGAAAGCAGAGAGGTGAAATCCGAATTTCTAAGCAAAAAAAAAAGTGAATACTACTGGCAATGCGTGAAATTCTAGAGAGAGAAAAAGAAGAAGCGTAAATCGGATTCTGGTATGGATGTTGATATGTAGAGAAAGGAAAAGGTGAACCGACAATAGTAGTTGGAGAAATGCTAACCTCGACCCCGGGAGAAGTGAACCCGAGAATCCGGATTTTGGCGCCGACATCGCCGAGGACCCGCAACTCGACCCGGTCGTTAACCGTAGCGTCGCGGAGCAAAGCATCGCCATCAGTTTGGAGCAAGCTGACCCGATCCACGACGATGGTGGTCTGGACCCGGCGGATACTGTGGGCGGGCTGGTAGAAAGCGGGGACGATGCCCCGCCCCAGTGGAATTCCGCGGTACATGATGGTGAATCGGGCCTCGTCGTACTTGATTCCGACCTTGTTGTCGTTGGCGGCGGCGAACACCATGCGGATGTTGAGGGAGAAGGAGGCGGAGGCCGCGGCGGCGGCGGCGGAGGTGGAGGAGATGCCGACGTACTGGACTCCAACTTGCTGGAGATCAAATTGGGGTTTCTTAGGCTTGAGAGCGAGAACAATAACGAGAATGACGGCAATGACTAGCAACGCCATGAAAGTGAAGAGGAGGAAGAGGCAGCAGCAGCAGCCTTTGAAGGAAGCCTTGGAGGAGGAAGAGGAGGAATGTGGAGGCGGGTAGTAGTGATGGTGGCTCGGAAGCGGCGGGTGAGGGATGCGGCCATTGGTGCTCTCACTAGGTCTGGAGTTCATTTTTGCTCTTACTGAAGAAGATGAATATGATTGGGTTGAACTGAAGATGGAATAATTGGGAAAGTGAAGCCCCACCCCTCTCTCCTCTCTCCTCTCTCTCTCTCTCTCTCTCCTTCGCTTCTGCTACTTTGCGTGCGTTGTGGGATAGAGGAGAAGGGGGTTGGGGGGTCGGCGAAAGATGATGAACGGTGGAGAGAGAGAGGAGCTATGAGGTGGGAGAGATGGGTTGCTTACAAATTAAAAAAATTAAAGGGGAGGGAGAGGGAGAGAGAGAGAGAGATAGAGAGAGCATTAGCCATAAAGTGATGAGTTAATATATAGAAATGATGAGAGTATTTTATGCTGCTTCTATGTGCATTATTATGTGTTGCGTTGTTGTTATTCAATATAATTCCCACTTTTCATTCATTTTAATATTAATGATTACTCATTAAGAAAAACAAAATTTAGTGAATCACCTTAGACTTTACTGCTTATTGCCAACATCAGAGACATATTCTTTTTTTTTTTTTTTTTTAACTAATGACAATATAATTCCTAATTTTTAAATTTAATTTTATTTAAAATTATTAAAATAAATGAAATGTTTGATATCCTATTTAAACATTATTTCATAATTTTAAAATTTGCCATCCATATTTTCCAAATGTAGCAATAACAATATGGAGTAAGATAACGGTTTCTCATTAACGGCGGCATATAACCCTTCAACACAGATTTGTAAAGCAAGAAGTTGAATTGGTTGGGGGTGGAGCGTTGCTTAATTATGAAGTCATAGGAAACTCCAATACATCTTTCCCACACCTTTCAAATATATCTCATTTAAAATGACACCACAGGCAATGTTTCAGTGAAACTTGTTCTCTTCAACAATCTTTGAGGGTATATGGTGGACTAACTTTTTGCTATTTATTAATTAATTATTTATTTATTTATTTTTTTTTTTAAAGTTGTGTGGATATCTTTAACACAGACTTATTTAGAAGTATATAATTAATATTCTTTTTCCTCTTCGAGATGGTCCTGCTTTATGCAATTATGCTGAAATGGACACATGCAAAAAGGGAGCTGCAAAAAGAATATGGCTTTAACCACAATAGCATACCTTGCTATGTTATTATGTATACCTACACTTTCCTGAAGGATGAACTGCTACTAAACAACTTCTATTTTCTTCATTCCTTAGCCAATTCCTCCTAATTTCCTCTTTGAAAATGGCAAATTAACTTCATTCAGATCTAAACCTCAAACCAAAGAGGCAATGGGTTTAATACCCAACCAAAAGGGACCTGAAAGTCAAGCCTACATTTACTTTTTTATTCTTTTTGAGTAACAAGGAAACAAGCAATCACTATTCAAAACTGCACACGAGGTAAATCCAACATAGTGATCCTAGCTGGCAAAGGATGACAAAAGGTAAATCAATCTAAGTTGTCCATAGCCGATCAGTTCAAAACAAGAAGGTCAATAGACAGCGCTCTCGCTGAGAGACGAACTTGTAACTTTGTGGTTACCAAGTGACTACATTTTCTTTTATACTTTCCTTTATCCAAATAGTAACCGTACCATAAAAATATTAGTTCAGTAAAATAAAAGCCATATAGGAGGTGAGCTCAATTTACTTTTTATAGGCCTAGAGGTGGGTTCATGGGACCCAAGATATAATACGGAGAAGTTAGGATAAGTGGGTTAAAAAAAAAAAAAGGAGGCAGATAGGCAGTAATTTATTTATTATTTTCTTAATAAGAAAAAGAAAAATGAAATTGTCGGCAATCACACTCCCAAGTCATGTGCATTTTTGACTTTGGAGGTGGGAGAAAGTAAGAAATGGCTTGAAATGTAATCCATGTTATCGCAATTATATGTGGAAATGGTAAGCAAACAAATCAAATCATCTGTCAGTAAAGTAAATAGAAGTATGAAACTAATCAAGAAAGCCCAATAATTTTTGTATTCATTCCTTACCTCTACCGTTTGAATAGATGATGAGATCAAGGATTGAGTAGAACACGATCCTTCCCAATTGTCACCCTTCTTGCTATATCGAATTTACATTCGAATACAGTACCCTGAAACGACTAAACAAATGCAACAAAACATAATGATTAAGGTGTAACCTAACCAAGATAACAAGAGATCCACACTTGTAATCACGAGGTCACGAGTTCGAATTCTTACCCTCTTGATTTGAACCGATCAGCTATGAATAACCTAAACTGATTTTTTACTTGGTCATTTGCCGGCTAGAGTCACATGGCAAGATTTACCTACACCTGAAAGAGTAGGGTGAAAACCAGTAAAAGTAACTCAGATGCTAACAAAGCATGAAATAGAGATACCATAAACATCTTCATTGTTGTCGCCACTTGGGGGCTTTCCAGTCTTGGCGGTCCATTCTGAAGCCTGCGGGTTTCTAGCTCTCTTGAAGATTAGGTGCATCATTGTTTGTTCTCTTACCTCTCCTGCCCATATTGCCACTTCTCTAGCTCTTTTTCAACATTTGCAACATGTTCTTTGGCAATTTGCTTCTGATACTGTGACAAGTTTTCTCTCCTACCAGCTTTAAGTTCTTGGAATATCTGAAACTCAGAGTGACATGTAAAATCAGCAGGGAATATAGCACTTTCTTTCACGTGTATCAAACAAGGGTCCTTTTGTATTCTTTCCACACAATTTTTTGTATTCCTGCAAAATATTCAGTATTTCCATATAGCTATTCTACATTTAATCCATAACACCATCAAGATATAAACTATACCTTCTGGACCAATTGGAGGGGTTGATTTCTTTCATCATGGCTTGCAGACTTGCAGTTCCATTTTCCAAGCTTCTTTCCACAGCTGAATCCTTCTAATCTTCAACAGCTTTAGAACCCTCCTCCCAAGATCGCACCCATCTCCAACATTTCTAACCAAAACATTAAAAAAAAATTTGAAATATCCATTAAATGACTTTGGCATTAGAGGGGCCAAAGTTTTTCTATGGCTTTTTCAGAGCTTGTTGATCCTCAGCCTCATTCTTCTCCGTCAAAAAATCAACCATTAAACATAAATTCAATTAATTAATTGAGAACAATTAGCTATAAAAATCTCTTATTATATTTTATTTCGATTTCTACATATAGGCAGAAGAGAATTAAAGCTGATCACCGCCATTAGCGTCAGAACTCTAAGAACCAGCGCGCGAAAAACCACAGCGACGAAGAACACCTTGAATCACGAAGCCTCTCCGTTATCATAATAGCTAACGACACTTTAGGTGTTGAAAATCCAGCAAATATTGCAATGTGATACGAGCCTAATTCCTTTTCAGCGTACAGACGCACTCTACTCGCATACATGTACACAGAAATACCAACATACATGTATATATTTAGATACATACAGATACCAGGGGAGAGAGGAGAACGGAAAACACCTCGCATCGTTGGCGATTCGATTGAGTTCTGAGTTCTGAGTTCTTCGAGCTCTTTTTGAAGCTCTTCCTTCGTCTTCTCCACAGCTGCTCTTGCCATTTTCGCGGCACCGTGACAACTCTCCTCTCGACTCTCGCAGACGACGCCATAGTTGTATTGGGCCCGCTAATAAACCCAATTGAAAGTCCGGAACAAATAAAGTGGCCCAAGGCCATAGTTATCATATTTGGGCCCCAAGGCTTAAGTACATATGTGAAATCAAGAAATATGAATAGCCCAATGGGCCCTTATAGAATATTGGCAATAGTTATGCTGTGCAATCGAATGCACCATGCGCATGGTGCATACGATGCAAAACGATGTCGTTTTGACTAAAAACGCGTGTTTCATTTATATAAAAAAAAAATCAGGTTTGATTCTTGGCAATAGCATTATTGTGGATATATAGTTATAAATTTATGGATATTTAGTTCATTCATTGTAGATATTACTTCATTCATTCACTGTGGATATATAGTTATGAATTTATAGATATATTGTGGATTTTTACTTCATTCATTCACTGTGGATATATAGTTATGAATTTGTGGATATATAGTTATGAATTTATGGATATATAAAAATGTTATTGTCAGGAATCGAATCTGATTTCTCTTTTAAGTGGGATGCGCGTTTTTTAACCAAAACAACATCGTTTTGCATCGTATGCACCATGCGCATGGTGCATTCGGTTGCACAGCATAATTTGCGGAATATTGGGCATCTGGTCCAATAAAACAAATCTATAGAGTTGTCCAAGCCTATATATTAAACATGCGCTTGAGACCATTATTAAAAACATGGCAAATTATATCGTGTACCGTGGTGCATAATCGATTATGCACCGCGCTTCAAATTCAAAATGATGTCGTTTTGTCTAATGAAAAGAAACGGCGTCGTTTTGCGCCGTTCCGTAAAAAAGTAACTCTGTTATTCAGTTTCATTTTGTATACATTGCAGTTTCAGTTCAACACAACTACAGTTTCATTCGACATTTATATACTCAAACTAGTTTTTTACGCGCATTGCGCGATTGAGATAATGCCCAATGTTTTTTTTTTAAAAAAAAATAAGTACTTTAAAGTATATTAAGGCAAGATTATATTGAAATTGTTCGTGCATAGATAATTGAAGGTTGAATTTGCGTATTTAAATAGGTAATCCTTCTCCCAAAGGTTGAGTCCCCAACCCCAAGGGCCCCCCCCACACTCTGACCCGACAAAGCATTGTGGGAAGTTGTAAATCACGGTGACTCAATGGTTCAGCAGACAGGACCAAATGCCGTTGCGAACAAGAAATCTGCCCACTTTGGACATAATTCCCGCATTGCCGCCGCCGAGGTTCAAACCTTGGTCTCTTCTCCCAAATACTGCCCACTAAACCATTGAGCTAAGCCCGTGCGGGTTAAATAGGTAATTCTAAGTTTACAAATGCAAGATAATATAGTTAATATTGATTATAATTGTCAATAAAATAATTGTATAGGTATGGTTGAAACCAAATGCGGGACATAAGGGAGAACAAATAAAAATTAGGGCATAAAATATTAAATATATACTAATATTGTTTGAGGAGATTTTGACATTAGGATTTGTGGTTAAGTTCTATTAAGACTTTAATATTAGAATTAGATTAATGGTGTAATTATAATTCTATATTAGACGTTAATATTAGAATTAGACTAACGGTGAATTAACGGTATTTAACGAAAAAGTTAAATGGATAATCATATAATTAAGGATAAATTAGAAAAACTTTTAAAAAAATTAAAACCTGAACAATTTGAATCATTCATTTGATTTAATAATTTGGCGGTCATTTTTTCTACCCAATGTTAATAATTAAATAAATTCGTTGGTCAAATCCGCTAATATAATCCGCTAACTGCTGATTGTCAAACAAGGACATTGCAAGGTAGTTCTCACTTCAATTTGTTGTGTGATTTGAATACTCTCTTTGTCACAAAATCTCTCAAGTAGTTAATATGGTTGACTTTATTAATTATATATTTTTTTTTATTTTTTTCATGGTATTAATAAAATACTTGGTAAATAAATATATAGCATTATTTTGTATTATAACTTTGATATTTAATTAGAAAAATAGTGCACAAAAAAGATAATAGACAATGTAGTGAATATAATCAATTGATGAATTTGAATGTAAAAATTTTTACATTTGAGAAAAATAAAGACAATATAACTAATGAAAATATTTCTCTTAATTAATTAATTGATAATGAATAATTTTTTTTTACTGAATTAAGACATTGTAAGGACAATGTAGCGAATATAATCAATTAATAAATTTGAATATAAAGAATTTTTATATTGTAGAAAAATAAAGACAATATAACTAATACAATTATTTCTCTTATTTAATTTATTGATAATGAATAATTTTTTTTGAATAAAGGCATTATGGACATATAACTAATTTTTTGTTGTAGCTACTAAATTATTATTTATATAATTTAATAAGAGTAAAATAGAGTACTAATTATGCCAACTTTGATTGGGATGAGGTTCGAACCTAAGACCTTTTTTTATTTATTGAAATCAATGAGTAAGTTAACGGTGAACTAACGGCAATTCTTAAAAGAGTACTAATTATGCCAACTTTGATTGGGATGAGGTTCGAACCTAAGACCTTTTTTTATTTATTGAAATCAATGAGTAAGTTAACGATGAACTAACGGCAATTCTTAAAATTTTAACGGAATTAGTAACGGTGTGTGGGTATTTTAGGAAATTTTAGTGTAAAATTTAAATCTTATCAATATTTTAATCAATCTGAGCCATTCATTTGATTAAAATCTGTGACCGCCATTTTTTCTACCCATTATAGGTCTAACTCTCTTGGGCTCTTATTAGTATATATATATAGTAGATATGTAAAAATTTTATTTAATTTTATTTTATATACACTATAGTTTCATTAAAACACAACTACATGATCATTTCGATATAACTACAACTTCATTGCACAATATACACTCAAATATGTGAAATGTTATTCAGTTTCATTTTATATACACTGCAGTTTTATTTCACCACAATTACAGTATCATTTTGATATAACTGCAGTTTCATTTGATAATATATAAAATAATATGTGATGCAGTGTCAGTTTAGATACACTGTAGTTTCAGTTGGTAATTAACACACCAAAAAATGCGCGCTCCGTTACTGTTAACGGCGCGCTGTTTCTCTACTTGAAGAAACGGCGCCGTTTTGATCGAGGTGTATGTGCACCGCGGTCCACGATATAACCACCGTAAAAACATTACTGCCCACGCATGGATCCATCACTGCACCATTGCAAATTGCTAAATTTTATTTAAAGGAGGAGCAGCAAAGCTTGTAGAACACATGCCCAAGTTAAAGTCAACCTTCAGGTAGAAGAAGTGGTAGCACAAGTGGAGGTTTGGTGTTCGAAACCTAAAATCAACAAATAATTCCAAATAGAAATGATGAAGGAGATGCCTTGAAGGAAAATTAAAGGTCAAGTGTTCAAAATCTAATCCATGAAAAATAAAATGAAGTAGCAAAGGAGGTAGAAGATTTCAAAAGTAGGAGTGATAGCTAGGCTACATTGTTCGTAATATTTTCATTTTTTCATTTATTTTGTTAATTTATTTTTCCAAATCTGCGGCTACAACTATTCATTACGGAGTCTTACATTTTGACAGGACGGCTTAAGGCTACAATTATCATACAACTTAGCCCCAAATTAAAGTGTTATTAATTGTTAAGCTGAAGGCAAGCACTAGTCTAGTATTATCAATGTAGTAGCTAGCTAGGGTGGTCTTTATATGATAGGGTAAGAATTTGGAGACTTTTATTGTGAAATTTGATAGAATAATTATACTAATTTCTTCTATCTCGCCGTACAATTACAATTTACAAGGATATATATATATATATATATATATATATATATATATATATATATATATATATATATATATCATGCATATGCAAGAACCAAGCAAAAAAAAAAAAAATAGAAATAATAATTTTATTCTTTTAATTTTTATGCTAAAGGCCTTGTGATCGAGCAGATTGTGACTCTCCCCCCAAATAGAAGGTCACATGTTCAAACCCAGTGGGGGCATTGATGTTGATTGTTTTTTTCTTTTTTTGGGCGACAAGAAAAATTCACAGCCACAAGTATGTTCATTATGTTGTTTCATTTCATCTTTTTTTTTTTTTTTTTTTTTTAGTTGAGGGGATAAGCATCACTCCTATGCAATATATAGCCCGTAAACCATATGGGGAGAAAACTAAAATGCACTAAGAAAATTATGTGTGACGAACCGATCAAAAAGGTGTTGGTAAGAATGACCAAACTCGTTATATTCTACCCACTCAATCACCCTTTCAAGGACCATTGGTTGTGTCTTTGCACTTGAAGAAGAGAAATTAAAAACAAAAAAAAACTTGATCCTGTTGTCAATTAATGTGCAATGAATGCAGCTTTAATATTGAACAGAAAAAAGTTGACTAAGGTAGGAGAACATGGAAATTCCATTAGTTATATATATCACAGTATACAATATAAACAAGACCTATTATATTGCTTGTCTTCTTTTGATACAGTCAAGAACTCACATGGAGCCTGCCTCAGACAACAGTAAAATAACTAGTTGACTGGGATTTATTCCTTTTTTTATAAACGAAAATTTTATAAATCCCCCAGAAAACAAGATCTAAGCATATCTAAGTGAGGATACTTCGGATCTAAATTAAAAACCCGCAGAAAAATTCTACAATATTGATCAACATCAATACCTTTTGTACAGAATACAAATGCTTTTACTTTTAAGGTTGTACCATAGTAATTAAGGGCAACCACTGCTGGAAATTATGGAATTTCTCACCATTTGAAAGTGACCTTAAATTAAGTCGAAAGTAAAAAGTGGTGGGAAATAGTAACAAAAGTTTTTCCCAATACTAAAAGTGATCGGAACAAGCCTTTCCACATTTAAAATCACTTTCAGGTGGTCGGAAATTTCATAATTTTCAGCAGTGAATAATTAACGTTACTTGGTATACCTTAAAAGCATACATAATTGTACCCGGTACAAAAGACATCGATAATGCTAACTTAATCATCTGCTAGATATTAGTTAACTAGGATGGCGGCTTATCTTTATTAATGAATGATGAAATGGCAGCGGCGACAGCATTCCTAAACTTAGGATCAGCGGCAATGGCGGTCACATTTTCAACTAGTTTCTGTTTATCATTCTCTGCGGCGTTCCCAGATTGAAGATGGCCGCCATCAAAATTGCTTGCTAGTCTTTGCATCATCCAAGACGAATATTGACCCATTTGTCCCTGCAGTTTGGGCAATGAGGTTGAGGAGGAGCTAGCAGAAGAGGAAACGCCATCTTTGGTGAGGTCAAGAACGAGCCCTAATTTGGAAGAAGCTGCAGGATCATGGTGGAAAGTAGCTGCCATGGCGGAATTAGGGTTTATGTTTCTGACTAGGGTTGGGATGATGTTGTGGTGGTAGTTTGGGGCGTTGAGAAACGGTTGGTTTTGGGGAATAATTCCGATGTTGTTGGGAGAATCCAGAAACATGAAGGGGGCTGCTGTTGAAGCTGTTGATGCTGCCATGGCGGTTGCACCCACCGGAAGGGGATGGTTGTGTGTTCCTTCGTAGGTTGTGATTAATATAGACATGTCTTCTATGCATCTTTGAACCTATATGAATAATGAAAGACATGTTAACTAACTAATATATTAATCCATATGGTTACAAGTTTGACCCCTATAGGAGCAGTTTATTAGTCAACTTGAGTTAGTTAATTAACTGTGAACAATTTAGGCTGATTTTCTTATTCTTTGTTAGCTAGGATCCGAATGCCAAGTTTACCCAGTATATACCTCAGGGCTATGGTTTTAATTTCCTCGTCACTCAAAACAAATTATTAATCCAAGGATATAAAACATCAATATGTGATATATAGTCAGCACCCGCGCACAAGCACAAGCCCATTTTCAATTTTTTTGGGTGACGAGGGTAATTAAATTAGACTATATTGTCTATACTTGATCAGTCCGCACAAACCAAGAAGGTCAATAAGATATTTTTATTGGGAGTCGAACTTAGAACCAAAAAAATTAATAGGTGAAAGTTCTCCCAATTGTGGTGCAATTCTTTTTTATATCACCATGGTACTAAAACTCGAACCTATTGAATTAAGAAAAATTGTAGAATTAAATACCTGCTTCCTTGCATTCAAAAAAAAAAAAAAATACCTGCTTCCTTACAGGGCATCCCGGAGCTACCGTGCACCGATAATAGGCTCTTGGACAAGGATTTCCTTTAGCAATCTTTTGGCCATATTTTCTCCATTGACAACCATCATTCATCTAAACACCATAAGTTAGCAAAGCATAATTATTATTAAGCCTAATTAAACTCGTAATCTTCATATACAAGAATCACGCTCCACCCGGATACCTAAAATTTTAATTTAGGGTAATTAGATGGAACTTACGGTGGCAGATTCACAGCGAGCCCGGACCGAAACCCTAGGTTTTCTGACGTTGTGCTGAGAAATGGGGGGAATATTCTTGGCACTAAGCCCTGCAGCAAAGCTGCTGCTTCCATGGTGAATATTACCGTGTATCGACGGCGGCGGCGATGCCGGACTCTTCTGATCTCTTCCTTTCTCATGATCATCTGCGGCGGCGGTTTGCAGCGTGAGAGACAACCCTAATTCAGTATCACTAAAACTATTATTATTATTATCATGTTCCAGCTGTGCGGTTGGCGATGACGATGATGATGTCCTGTTCACCTCTTGACTAATCTTCTCTTCTTCCCCATTATTCACCCAAAGAAAATTGCTAGCGTCCTGATGAATATACATTCCCCCAAGAAATATTTAAAAAAAAAATAATTAAATAATTGAATTGATTATGCTACAAATTAAAGATTATATATTGCATGAATAAAGTTAATAATTACCTTTTTGTGATCGTTTTGGTGGACAAATATTGCAAGTTTGGTCTGCAGATCGAGGAAATCTTTCATTGTGTGCTCCACTGCCTCCCTCAACACCTTGTTCTCCTCTTTCATGCGTTTCATTTCCGATTGCAGCACTGTTATCTTTTCAAAAAACATTAAAATAAAATAATTAATCCAACATAATAAGAAAAACTTACATAATTGCTGGTAGCTAGCTCAGTTGGTTCAGTTCAATTCCTGTGTGGCAGATTGTGGATAAATACGCAGGATTAAGCCCCTCGTATAGTAGTGAGGGCTAAGTCACAGTAATTCATCTATCAACAATCTTATCAGACAGGACTGGGGATTTCGCCTTTTTTGTGGACAAGCTTAAGCAATCATGGAATCAAAGAGTAAAGATGGTGTGGTGTACCTCTTCTTCTGTCTTGGAATTTTTGGGCGACGGCGGCGAATCTCCTTTGTTTGCTTGTGATGATGATGATTTTCCGACAGGCTGCGGGGAATCTTGAGGAGATTCGTTGAGCTTCAAGGACAAATCGATATCCATATGGTCGTGATGAGAGCTTTCGTTGTTGTTGTTGTTGCAGGTGTTCATCTTAGGAATCTGCAGTTGTTGGAGCTAGCTATCAAGGTGATGATATATGAGGAATAATATTAGTTGAATTTCTTGAAATTAATTGTTTGGTGCTTTTGAGGCACCAAAGTCAATTCCTTCGTCTCCAGCAAGCGTAAGTGCACGTGTAAGTACGCTGCTTAATTTATTTCTTTTGACTTTTAGTTTATAATTAATCTCCATTCCTTAATTAATCCCCCTGTTTTTTTTGTTTTTTTTGTTTTTTTTTTAGTGGTGAAGTTAAACACGCAACTACTATCTGAAGGTGTATATTGAATTAATTTTGTTTCTGTGTAATAACTCGCAAATCGCATCAGAAAACTAATGTTATTCGTAATAGGAAGAACTCGTGTGACGGGACTCAATTGAAAATGTATTAACAAGAATCAAACCCGTGTTCTTAATATACGAGAATAATGTTCCATTCAATTGGCCACCCTTTTGGAACAATCCCTCCTTTCATATATACTCCGTATAGTATATAAGAATAGTATGCAGTTGTTAGCCCTAATACCACAATTAAATAAACTAATTAATGAATTTTAATTATATATGGAAGTTATTGTTTGAAGGTTTAGGGCTAGTTTGCTTGGTGATACTTTCAAGTCGTTAATGAAATGCATATATGTTGGTTGGTTGGTTGAGATTTTGAATTGAATTTGTTGAAGATTGAGTGTAGTGATTAATTAAGAAAGCAATAAAATAAAATAAATAAATAAATGAAGAAACATCATCCATTTATAGAAAGTGAGTCTTGTACGAAATCCCACAATGCTGAGGATGGGAGTGGCCCTTTGGGTCAGATCTTGAAATTGTCAACTTTTCAGACCTCACACACTTCCAGCTTCCACTCTTTCTCACCCACAAGGTTTCCTTTTTGGGTGTGACTTAAAAGGTTTTTTATCGTTAAATACAGTGATTAATTCTCTTACTGAGTTGTAGATGCCTTTAAGGGTAAGCTCAATCATTTGTAATAATATTTAAACCACACATGCGATATAATTATTTAAATCACACTAAAAATATCACGTATGATAAGTTTGATCAAGAAAGTGTTGGCAAGCCTGCACGAGTTTAGCTCAATAGTGTAAGCAGTATTTGGGAGAAGAGACCAAGATTTGAACCTCGACGGCAGCAATGTGAGATTATATCCAAATTAAAGTGGACAGATAGCAGTGTGGGGTTATATTCAAAGTAGACTGACCCTTTGTGCGCACTGACATTTGACTCTGTTTGATGAGCCATTGAGTCGTGGGGGAGCTCTTGATATTAGAGATTCAACCTTTTTTAGATAAGAAAGTGTTGGCAAGAATAGAATTCGTAAAAAACAAACAGTAATAGCTTAAAGTGCATGCATAATAGCTTAATTATAGAATTTTCTTTATTAAGTTTGAATTTGGTTTATGCATGTCGTCTTTGAATTGATTCAGCTGTTCTTTCTCCCCCTCCCTTAAAATATAGTAGTATTCAAAAAAAAAATGTCAAATTTGGAAATGACAAGCAAGCTATCTAAATCTCATCCTACTACCTTTAATAAAATAAATAAATTCCTCACTCCATCATATAATAATATTAATATTAATATTAATTAGTAATAGTCAACTATTCTGGCAGAGAGTAGCCATATGATTCAAGAAAACGACTCGATCTTCCTAAACTTCCGGTATTGTTTCGTCACGATGACAAGAAGAAGAATGAATATGATGGCAATTCGTAAGAATGTAATATTAATCTTATTAACTATATTTTTAAACAAAAATAATAATTAATATATTCCACATATATGAAGCATGATGGAGGAATTGTGATTGGATTTCTTGAGCAACCATTAATGTGCAATCCAACTATCAACTTAGACTTTTAGTTGAGATGGAGCATATGCTTCAATTTGATATCAGAGTTATGTTCAAATCTCAGCGCCATTCAATCAAAAAAAGAGACTAGCACATGCGCCAATTGAATCTATTGCGTCCAAGAAGTGGATGTTTGGGACTATCGGACCAATATAATCCTACATTAAATTAATTTTTAGGAATTGTACTCCAAAAATACAAGCTAGCAGTAACACTTGGTCTCTAAACGTGACTGCATCATACCCACATCAATTAGGGTTTTATTAGTGTTTTTACCCCTACAAAAGGAAATGTTACGTTGTATATATAAGAGATGGATTATATATGCTAATATGCATGCATGGTCCTATACTATATTAGAGTAGTAATAATTGCTACGTATGCATGCATGAGCTAAACTAAATTAAAGGTTGCCTATTTTGACAAAATTCACCAAATTTAGGCTTTAATTCGTTTTGGTCATGAATATCTATGGACCCAACTTGTTGAAATTTGATTCACACTATAGTTGCAATGTTGACAAATCAAGTCTAATGTTGTTAACATACCTATAATTTTTTAGTTGATAAAAGAAACTTGTAATTATTATCTGAAAGTGTACGTACGGAGTAAATCATGACTTTGTGTATTGATAATAAACGCTTGTGTCATTTGTGATGATTTTAGATTTTTAGTTAGTTTGTATGCGATATACACGTTAGTTAGTTTGGGTATTTATATATGTAAACCGGAAACGTATGTTAGTTTGTGTATGGCATTGAACAAATTCACGACTTTGCGTGTTGATAATATAAGCTTATGTCATTTGCGATGATTTTTTATAATTATATTTTAGGGGGGGAAATAATTAAAAAAAAATTGCATTTTTAATTTGGTCCGGCCTTCAGTTATATCCGTGATACAAACTTAGTCGCTGAGTTATATGCGTGACAATTTTTAATTTAACCCTTAAGTTATGCACGAAGTGATAATTTTAGTCCCTCGGGGACTATTTCTACCACCAATTTGTCAATGAATAAATTAAAGTGGCTAATTTGATTCTTTAAAGACTAAAATCGTTACTCCATGCATAACTTAAGGGTTAAAGATGATCATGCATAAAACTCAGGAACTAAGTTTGTACCACGAGTATAATTAAATGACTAAAAATACAATTTTCCCAAAAAATAACTTAACCCATCCGACTTTGTGAACTACTTTTGATCAATTGTTATGCTGCAAGGTGGACACGGTTCTATGTTCATAATTACTGAACTATATGTTCAGAATTATAAAGCTATATATTCATAATTATTGAACTCTATATTCACAATTACAGAACTCTATGTTCATAATTACTGAACTATATGTTCATAATTACTGAACTTCATATTCATAATTATTGAACTCTATATTCACAATTACTGAACTATATGTTCATAATTACTGAACTATATGTTCATAGTTATAAAGCTATATATTCATAATTTTTGAATTTCATATTCACAATTATTAGATCTCTATATTCATAATTACAAAATTATATGTTCTAATTATGTTCACAACTCTATGTTCATAATTATAGAATTATATGTTCATAATTTTTAAACTATATATTCATAATTATGAACAGTTTTAGAACCGTGTCCACCTTACAAAGTGGACACGGTTCCACAACATAATTTGCCACTTTTGATTGTGTGGGCAACTGGGCACTAGTGATAAAGTCAAACTTAAATGCTAAATTTGCAATCGTTATACCCTACCCCACATCGCACATAACACTGTGCGCCGCGCGCCTCCCAAAACGACGTCGTTTTGGGAGGCGCGGTAGGAAGTTATTGGGATTTTGTGCATTTGTTCACACAGTTATGTGTATTTGTTCATACAGTTATGTGTATTGGTTCATACAATTATGTACATTTTTTATACAATTATGTACATTCTTTTTATACAATTATGTACATCCGAATCAGAAAATTTGTGTGTATTATGTTAATAGTTGATGTGTATTATGTTAAAAGTTTATGTTTATTATGTATTATGTTAGATTATGTGTATTATCTTTCAAAAAGAGTATGTATATTTTGTTATATAATTATGTACGTTCATGTATACAATTATGTGTATTCTAGTATAACATTATGTACATTCTTGAACAGCGGGTTTTTTTTTAAAGAAAAAACTACTGCCATTCACTGGGGCGGGAAATTTCAAAAAAATAAATAAATTAAAACGACGTCGTTTTGCATCTGGGCGCATAGTGCAACGCGCGCCGTGGTGTAGGATATAAATTGCCCTAAATTTGGACTCTTTTAAAATAATTGTTGGATCCCATGAGAGAGGCCCATCACTATGGGCTCATGGTGCACTCTACAATAAAGCATGTGGGTGACCATGCATGTAGGAATGTGAATCAAATTGATGAGTTGATTTGATAAAATCATAAAACTTATAGGGTTAGGATTCAAAATTTAACCCCATAAAAATCAGCCAGTCCAATTAGACGGTTTACCTGTCCTGTTAGCCCAATTATCACCTATAAATTTTACAACTTGCTACAACTAACTAGTCTTAAATAGAACAATCGTTATGCTGTGCATCTGTATGCACCATGCATGGTGCATACGGATGCCAAAACGACGTCGTTTTATTAAAAAACGCGCGTCTCCCCTTTAAAAAAAATCCAGGTTCGATTCCCAGCAACAACATTATATTGTTCATTCATTCTGAAATTTTAGTTCATAGATTATGGAATTATAGTTCATTGATTATGGAATTATAGTTCATCGATTATGGAATTGTAGTTCATCGATTCTGAAATTTTAGTTTATAGATTATGGAATTTTAGTTCATTCATTCTGAAATTTTTAGTTCATAGATTAGATTATGGAATTATAGTTCATCGATTATGGAATTATAGTTCATCGATTATGGAATTATAGTTTATCGATTATGGAATTTTAGTTCATATGTTGTTGCTGGGAATCGAACCTGATTTTTTTTTTTTAAGGGGAGACGCGCATTTTATTAAAACGACGTCGTTTTTGCATCCGTATGCACCAATCCATATGCACCATACATGGTGCATACGGATGCACAGCATAATTTGCCTAAATAGAACGAGTTGGCTCGATTGTTATTCCTACATACATGAAAGGTGTCTTAATTCACGGGTTACCTGAACTAAGTAACACGTGTAAATATTAAAATTCAATATATTATAATACTAAATTAAAATATATATGGAGTATTTCGTTTTAAATTTAAAAAAAAATCTAATAATAAAATGATATACTTATAATTTTATACTCAACATAAATAACAAATTCTTCTTTATAAAAATCAATAATTTCATGGGTCTAAAAGGTGAAATTCCTTGTCCCGAGTTAAATCACATTGACTCAACTACGATTTAGATTGGAGGGTTTGGTGTTCACAAGGAACCACCCCCACAAAAGCATAATAATCCACATTAGGATTGTCAGGATTTGATCATGCATCCTTCAATGTAATATTTTTTCCGAAAAATCAATTGAGCTACCGTTGAGAGCAAAGGGTTGGAGATGCAACACGAGGATTTTGAGCTCTGATATTGAAGGGCCGCGTCATAATCGACATAGGAGGACAATATTGTCATTTCTCACGAAATGCTCTGCGACAGAAATTGCGGAAGATGATTGAGTGATCAAATGATTGTCGCTACTAAATCAGTCCTACTGTAAGGAGCAATCACCACTTCACTCTGGGCTCCGTGAAGCTGTGAGAATCAATGGCGAGCAGCGCCGCTAACAGCAGAGGAGGAGAAGAGGAAGAAGTGCGGCGGCTGGCGGCGGAGCATGGCAAAACCCTTAAAGAAGGCGAGCGAATCCTCGCCCCAACCCGGCGACCCGACGGGACTTCCCGCAAGCCTATCCGGATTAGGGCTGGCTATATTCCCCAGGAGGAAGTCGCCGTTTACCAATCCAAAGGCGCCCTAGTACGTATATACATACAGTGTGTGTTTCCGAGTGATTGATTGGTTTTCAGTTTTCTGATGGTGTCGATGGCAGTGGAGGAAGGAAATGGCGGCATTGCAGGAGGTGCCGCCGGGATATGATCCGGCGAGTGATGTTCCGAAAACCAAGTCGAAATCAGCTATGAGGAACGAAAGGAAGAAAGAAAAGCGCCTGCAGGTCAATCATTCATTATCTTAATACTGCTTCAATTGCTCTCCCATTTCTCATCTTCTTTGAAGCCTTAACATGACCTGTGACAGGCTGCACTTGAAAAGGGCAAAGATCCAGAAAATGCTGACATTTCTTCTGATGAAACACCAAATCATCTGTCAAACCAAGTGGAATCGGTTGCGTCTCAGATAAATGAGCTCACAATGGGAACTGAACTTCAGGATGTTGATAAAAAAATTCGAGCGCTTAAGAAAAAGGTAAACTCTCAAGTCTTAATTTCATGTAACCAACCCCCACTAGATTAGGATTAATGAATGCTTAATTGTGTTTTGGTGACATAACCTAGTCTTTTAAGTTTTCATTTAACCATGCAATACCAATAGTATGGGTTCGTTTTTGCTTAGATTCGGCTGACAGAAGCACAACAGCAGAAAACCAAGGAAAAGGATATGAAGCCAGAACAGCTTGAGAAGGTAGCTAAATTGGAAGATTGGCACAAAGAATTAAAGTTGTTGGAGGATAAAAGGACTCAACTTGCAGAATCAGCATCATGAATCTATAAGTTGTACTATAGGGTGAAGGAACTATGTATTCTTATTATTATTGATACATTATGTATCCCAACTTACGCTAAACTAATCCTAAGCCTTAAGAGCTCCTGTCCAAGAGCCGTTGGAAGAGGTAAATAACGAGTGGCCCCGTCAATCCCCAAGTTCTCACCCCTGCCGTTACACTATGTATCTTTATTTAACATTACTTTATAGCATACCCTGATTTCTTTTGCTGAAGGAGCTGTGGTTCATAGTACTGCAATTGGTGATATTTGTCCCTTTGAGTTGTGCACGCTTTACTAGCTATATGACAGCTTAAAGGCAATCTAAACTCTTCAATTAGGTAACACTTAAACTATGCAGTAAATCAATATGGTATTGAAAGGGTTTTGATTAAAAAAATTAATGAAATTACAAGAAAAACTACATCAATTTCAGTTATTGACAAGTAAAATGTTCACAGAATCACCAAACAATACATCAACTTCAACTTTTGAGCATCAGTGAGAAGAAGGCCATGTCAGAGTATAGTTAAAAAGTTATGGAGTACATTAGTACATTTTAAAAGACTAAAAGTGAGCCTAAAATTTCATATTTTCCTTACCATTTTGAAACTTCAATTGACAACATCTATTATTGACCTCCATTGGCTTGGCTCTGCCACCTTCTCCCAGAGCGCTGCAAAAGGACTCTATCTTGGTGAGATGCAGAATTAGTGTTGTATGGTTGTATGATTATCTTGAACATCTTCAGCAATACCACCACTATCTTCATCTGGGAAACCAAAAGTACCAATCTGAGGGGGGTTGTTGATTCTAAGAGGGGGGTTGTTGATTCTAAGAGGGGGGTTGTTAATTCTAAGAGGTGGGTTGTTAATTCTAACAGTGCCTTCACCCAGTCCATGATTTGAATCTATACCCTGATGCCTCGTATCTCTATCTGAACGACTACCATGTGCTGAACCAAAGGCCTGCAGAAAAAGTAGAAAGCTCATCCAACTGCTATCGGCTCTCATTCTGAAATCTTCATTCTGCTCCACTTCTGCATCAAATCCATCCTCATCCTCATCCTCTGATTCAGAACCGTAGTGCTCTCCAATTACATAATCACCAAAAACAACAGCCCCGGGCACTGCTGATGTTACTGCACTGATGACATCATTCCTCTCTAGTTCCCGTTCAAGCTGCATCCATTTCTGTTCAACCAGGGGATTGATTTCACGTGGCCTAGCAGATGGGTGCTCTGCCTTAACATGTTTACGCATCTCCTTATAGTTTCCAGCAAAAGAGCAGCCATCGTGCATGCAACTTCGTTTCTTAGCATTTAGGTATTCTCGTGCAGGTTCAACCACTGTCCACCCCTTCACCTGTCCACGACAAAGAGGACATGCAAGTTCAATGGTCTCACAGTTCCCAGCATGCCAGGCAGAAAACGGGGCTGTGGTTGGGCTACTAGTTGAACCACGGGGAGATTGACTGTTCCGTGGAAATGTTACTTTAGTGTAAGCTTTCTTGTACTGCTTAAGGCAATTTGAGTAGCGGAAGCTAGTCCCGCACATGTAGGGACGACAGCCTTTGTCATGAGAGGAACACAGAATAAGGACAGCTTTGTGAGGATATTCCATACATACAGAACATATTGCATCATCCCAGCATTTCTTTTCAGATTTTTTGGAGCATTTCTTTTCATTCATGTCCACTGAATGATTACCAGATGGTGAGGGGTATGGTTCTCCCTGACACTGTCGTGATGCAATCCTGCCTCTTCCTCTGCTTCCTTTTGCCATTTTCTAAAAGAAATCTATAAGAACCCGAGAATTTCAACAAGTTTAGCATTATTTATAAAGTTGAAACAAGAACAATAAATTTTCATAATAACCCATGAATATCAACACTTAATCATATGAGCATCGATATTATCTCATCCCTAGCCAAAATTAACAATTAATGGACTTTAGCCTTTGCTAGTGCATTACAGAATACATATGGAGCAGTTTATCAGGTTATGATTATGAAGAAGCTGAATTAATCACAAGGATGGACTTTAGCCTTTGCTAGTAAACCCTGATCTAGAAGTTGTTTTAAACATGTGCATGATTGGGAATTGCACTCTTTCACCATGGAAGTAACGAGCAGATAGCCAAATTAAACATAGAAAAAAAATACAGAACCCTTATAAAATGACAATTCAAAATGTTATGAAGCTTAAAGGAACCAGATCCTCAACAAACCATTGACTACAAAATCACAAAACAAAACTGAGAAGATTAATCAAAGCCATCCAGTCTAACATCCATCTCATATAGACATCAACTCGCATGCTAGCAGGTCAACCCAATCTAGCTTCCATACTTAACAAACATGTACAAAAACCACTAAAAACATCCAAGAAGAAAAATGGCCAGAATTAACGAAACAACAGATACCATAATTTGATATTACTAGAGCTGATTTCATTAATTAAAACAAATCACACCCACCTAAACTTTCAAGCAAATCTGGATCCTTCAGCAAGAGCAACCAAAATGCAGCCAATTATTACAGACACCTCCACAAAATTCAACGCACATATACATCTATATATATAGAGAGAGAGAGAGAGAGGGAGAGGGGAACACGAAATGCATCAAATGCACGAAACATCAACGTGGCTCAAGGGAGAAACCACGCGAGGAGACAGTTAGAATAAGGAATAAATTAATAGCATCAATGAGACAACAGCTTAAAGACTAATCAAATACGGAGTTAAATAAATTAATCACCGCAGCACATGACATTGGTCATTGGCATTGCCTCAATTCTTCCATACCATAATCACTTCATAGCACATTCAAGTCAAGGAATCAAGCAGCCCAATTGAATAATATATGCTAAAAATAATGAAGAATTCATGAAACCAAAAACACGAATTGAAAAATGTAGGTAAAAGGAGTTGAAGGTTTCGTACCGGGCGGGGATTGCTTGAAGATGAGGGAAGGATTTAGAGAGAGAGAATGTGGTGAAGTTTGTAAACTTGGTAGATTGAAATGATAATGGAAATTGGAAATATCGGCAAATAAAGAGCGCGGGCGTTTCCAAAAAATTGGCTTAAATTGAGAGAGAGAGAGAGAGAGAGAGAAAGGAGTTGAGTTACTTTAACGAGATTCGCTCCCTCTCTTCTAAGTGGGATAGCTGTGGGGTTTTACGCGCCAAGAAGGGAGTGGTATAACACGATACAAATTCCCCATTGCTGTGAAAGCAAGTTGATAACGAAAAGGAAAAGGGATCTACTTTAAATGAGTTTTTCCTCATTTTAACCCTTGACTTTTGTAATATTTTAATGCACAAATACACAATTCTACTTTAAGCATCAATGGCATAAAATGAGTAATTGAGTGTGTAGAAAATATTATAAAAAAGTCACCTGCAGTTTATCATTTTATCAATTTTTCTTGTGAGTTATGACAAAAAAAAAAAAAAAAAAAAAAATATCAGTGATCAATATTGTAAAATTTACAATATATTATATTATGTCAATTTCTTTTAATTATGTTGAAACATTGTAATACTCCTAATGGGGTTATACGAGGTGTATACCCTATTTCCCGACTACATCTTATCTCCTTGGAGCCTTTCCCTATCCACTTGTTGACCTCACATGAGAAATCAATGATCTCAGAAGTATCATTCTAATTGTCCTATCAACCTCGATTAGCTGCCAGCGCAGACACATGATGTAATTAACCTAGCCACAAAATGTTTGAGCACATTGCACCCTCTCACCGATGAGATTCGCAACATTTGCCACCAAATTAACCTAGCCACAAAGCCAACGTACACCTATAAGAGCACTTTTGACTCAAAGAATCAAAGTTCTCTTAATACTACACTTGAGTTATCTACTTGATTCCCCGATTCAAAAAGTGTACTAAGAAACTTATTATCAATAAAACTATTATCTAATTGATTTGACATCATCATTATCTATACCTAAAGAACCCAAAATACTTGTACAAGAATAAAATTTACCTAATGCACACCGTCATATAACTTCACCAAAAAAAAAAAAAAAAACATTTTGACCTCACATTTTCAATGGTGTTGGACGTGGACAACACGCGGGGGGATGCTAAGGAGCTAGAGATTGGAATAACTTGAGATTTGAGGAATGTCTAACGTCTGGGTATAAACTTGAAAGCGTCGTCACGCCTCTCACGGTACAGCTGGGAATATGCTACGGCATAACAACAGAGGTACACAACGCCAGATCTACAGATAACAGATCTGACACATGAATGAACACATCATTTTTGGTCACCTTTCCCTAACAGGCTAACACAATCACATGAAAAGCACTGTCGTACCGAACGCAAAAAAAAGCTATAATTAGGCATAACCATAACCGCTAAATACAGATAAGCTAAGTTGCTATCTAAAGTACAAAATTCCTGGATGCAGATTAAGAGAACATGCAGGTTAGGAAATGCCATAATTGATAGCAGCAGAGTCTATTTCAATTTCAACAGTGAGTGTAAACTAGAGAAAACATCTACACCCTCCTAACAGAAACTAGGCATGAGATCCCGGGGGGTTACATTTGCATTGGAGAGTAGAAACCTGGACTAGGGAGCTTTTGTAGCGTCATCTCCAGTTATATCATCATCATCATGATAAATGTTCTCGGCCATTTGCCAGATTTGTAGTATGTTATCTTCGGCTACACTGGCAATGACCCAATCTTCACATGGATTCCATGAGAAGTCGGAAATTTTACTGGTATGCCCACCATGAATAAAGAGCAATTCTGGCGGCCCATCTTCAGCATCCTCTGGTGTTTGCTCTTCATCAATCCTGGTAAGGGAGAAAAATGTGATTTATAGGCTTATAGCACTGGCTCTTGTATCTGAATTACAGGGTGCCTTTACGATGCGGAATTAAAACAGAGGTAGAAAAAGGATTGAGCTTACATATGCAAAAAGAATACAAGCCTAGATCCCAAAACTATCTATCTGGGGAATACATTACTTCAGAAATGAGGAAAATTTAGGCAGATCAAACTGAATTCCTCCATTGTTTGAGAAAGCCTTTTTCAATGTAAAGGTGTTCATTCTCAAGTAGAACTACATTCATGTTTCAGCATCAAAACAAAATTAACCTATAAAAACCACTAATATTGATTAACCATTCACTCAGCTAATGATTGCTTAAATATATACTACGTAAGTTGCAAACTAAAATTTGAATGGCAAAAATACTCCAATCACTGTAGTTAAGACTTCAAGTAAATCATGATAGGGGGTAAATTCATTGGCCAGGTCAGGTCGATTAGTATCAGTGAGAAGAAGCTTGCAAGGCATATAACAATGCAAGAGAAGTTTAAACACAATTATGACCAGATAAATGCATTCAATTCACAGCAATTGCACTATCTGGAATTTATAAGATACCTGCTCAGGTCCCAGACCATGAGTCTCCTACCAAGGCAACAAGAAGCTAAGATAGTCTCATTCTTTGGATTCCAACCAACTTGGAAAACCTCCTCCCTGTCACAAAGTTCAGAAAATTTTTGCTCTAATTTCACTTGCATAGAAAAAATAATGTTTCTAAGTACGGAGTAATATACTACCATGACCAATGAAGAAACCAAACTTTCAACAAAAACAAAATGCAAGCAACAACTCTTACTTGTGACATTCAAAGGTATGGAGGGCAGAAGTAATCTTGCGCAGATCAAATAATTTGACTGTCTTGTCAGTGGATCCCGTTGCGACAACCCACTCATTAAAAGGATTGAATGCTAAGCAGTTGACCTTTACCAACAAGAATGCAATACCATGAATATATAATTATATATATACACACGCATAGATACATAGATTAATGAAGAGATGGTTCCTAATTGCAGTGAGATTAGCAAAAGGCAAAAGTGAAAATAATTAAAAAGGGGAACCTAAATGGAATTAAGAGCTTTTTGAAAAATAGGCCTTTTCTTCTGCTTTGGCTCAAAAAACCTCCTCATATTATAAAGCGGGTCAAACAAACACAAGTAGTCTAAAGGCTTCTATAAGAAGGGAATAGCATGGCAATGCATTTGCTTGTTTATGTCTTTTGCAATTTCATCCATTCATTCAATATATACATACATCAAAACACACACACACACATAGGATTTCATGTAAATACTAAATAGTCTGATCCCACCTCTCCATTATGAGCAACTACAGACTGCATAGGCTTGGTGACTGATGGAGTCCGCATATCCCATACGTGTAGATATTGATCATCTCCAACTGAACCAAACAAATACTCATGCCTCAGATGCCATGCTACATCCTCAACAACTCCCTCGTGAATCTAAAATAACATCACCAAGAAAGTTACTCAGATATATGAGAATTCTAGACAATACTCAGTGAAATCAACCACTGTCAGCATGCCTTAGGTTCATCCTTCACATGTTACTAAATTCACGTGAAAAGGAACTACATCAAGCGTTGACTAGTCTGCCACATACCTTATATATATGCATGGCATCAAGGGCCTTATTCTTTGGAGTAGCATTAATGTCCCACAGGCAAATCTGAGCATCATCTGAGCCACTTAGCAAATGGCCCTGCTTAAACTGACTCCATGACAAACCATATCCTTCAGTGCTGTGACCTCTTAGCCTCAAATCAGGATTGCATGCACCATCCAAAGGAGGCTTAGATGGATGCTTGCTATAATCAAAAACATAAACTTCAGCACTAACTGTCTTGGTGGCAATAATAAATGAGTTTTGAGGCATATAACGAGCCCTATTAACTTCTCCTTCATGATTTATTTGCTGGATTATTTGTACCTACAAGAGAAATATATAGTATTTATAAAAGGGTGATTGACTCAAACAACAAAAGAGAAAAAGACTAATCCACCCCCAATCAGGTGGATGATCTTGATGAGGAATCAAAAGTAGAACAAAACTTTCCAATGATAAATCTCAAATACAAAATCATAGATATTGGAATGAAGTCAACTACAAGTGTTCATGCTGAATTTAAAGGTAAACTATGCATCTGCTAAGTTCATCACTAAATTGTAATGCCCATGTCTCCCCTTATGAAAATAAGATTTATCATCAGGAAGTAGCACTTGAAAAGAGGGAGAAAATTCCTCCAAATCAGACGAGTGTGTATATCCGACTATCCGAGTACCCATATGATTAAATACCAATTTCCCCCATCAAACCAATCATTCTCCTACAGCAAGATGTGTATGTTATATACAATAAGCAAGTAGCACCTTATTCATCAAATGCAGATCTTTAGATTGATTGTATCCAATGAGACAAATAAACAGACAAAACTATTTATCAAAAGACTTATAGAATCGAGCTTCATGTAGCTCAAGAGCTTGAACCACAGAGCTATATCAAGCCAAGTTTACATTACAATCAATCTATGAAAGGAGTTCCAATCAAACCAACAAGGATCGAGAGCCCAGCACTCAGTCCCTCTTCCTTTACCTCCTCACATGGCCCTGCTCTTTTAGAGGCAATCACTTACATAACTACAAATTATTAAATAATTCGAAAGAAAATGAAGTGGACAACTTAACTAGCTACGCTTCACATATAGTACAGTTTAAATTGGAAGGAGAAACAATGACAAAATAAAATGATTTCAGCCCCAAATACATTAATTATTTCATCAAATTGAGACAATCCACTCATCTAACAATTGAAATTTAAACTTTCAGTTCACAAGGTACTAGCTACATAATTTCAAAACTATGGAGTAATGTTTTAGCTGATTTGACTTCTACAAAGTGTAAATGGAGTATAAGCAATACCCTAGCGACTCAGATATATGTACAAGATTTATCCATAGTCAAGCACCAGAACCACTAAACATCATGAAAGCCAAACAAACCCTTGCAGATTTAAAAGGGCAACCACCAAACCGAACCCTCATGTAAACTCACAGCACAAACCAATTCGCCAGAAAGGGGAAAAAAAATCATAAGTAGAATTATATTAAACAAACAAGTTACTCTACCTTTCCATTGGCACAACCGAAACCGCCGAAGTCCGACCGATCGTCGTCATAATGGCGAGCATCATTTTCAGCATCCTCGAGCGGGAGCTGGACTTTGGCGAGCATGAGGTAATTCGGCTCGTTCTCGGAAGTGTGGGTCCCTAGAATAACCTTCTGGACTGAGTAATCCTTCCCAGGTGGCTCTTCCCGGTCGGGAAGCCATTCGACGGTAAGCGACGGCCACTCAAGCGCGTGAGTGATAACCAGATCATAGAGAAACGGAGTATTCTTCTTCCAAATCTTGTACTCCTCGTTAATTTGCCTCTCCTCTAACTCACCCCTCATCTCGTCATCGTCTTTCCCCATGAAAATGACTCCTCAGTTCACAGAACCGGCGATGGCCGCTGAATTGGAGACGTCGGCGGCGCTGAAGCGCTTGACGGCTTCGAAGACCGTGAATTCCTTGAACTTTATTCGAGCTTTGGAAATGTGAGTAGGAGATTTTGCTCTCCGCCTATGGAGATTTTGGGAAATTGGAGGGAAGACCAGATTTTGGTGGGTTTTTTGCAGCGCGTTTCGGGAGATTGGGGAGGGTTTTAAAGGCCACGTCACTGTAGTGGGTAAATGGGCTGTATTACAAAGCCCATTAATTTATAGGTAGCGAAAGCCCGTAAACAGAATCTTCACTAGTCCATTAGTTTATAGTTATGCAAGCCTAATAAGTTTTAAACCAATCGTTATGCGTTGGACCGTGTCCAACATGCTTGCTGGACACGGGTAACAGTGCCGTTAGGCACTGTTATCTTTTTTTTTTTTTTTTTTTTTTTTAATTTCAGACCGCTTTGTTATAGGAGTATATATTCATAATTTTATTACTATATTATTAATAACAGTACATTCATAACTCTATAACTGTACGTTCATAACTCTATAACTGTACATTCATAACTCCATAAATGTACATTCATAACTCCATAACTGTACATTCATAACTCTATAATTGTACATTCATAATTTTCGAAGCTCTATGTTCACAATTTTAGAGCTCTATGTTCATAATTTTATCACTATATGTTCATAATTGTAAGTTCATAATGTTAGAGCTCTTTGTTCATAATTCGATCAATAATTGTACATTCATAATTCCATAACTGTAGATTCATAATCTCATAACTATAGATCCATAACTCCATAACTGTAGAGTCATAACTCCATAACTGTACATTCATAATCTTCGAAGCTTAGATTCACAATTTTAAAGCTCCATGGTCATAATTTTATCACTATATATGTTCATAATTGTAAGTTCATAATGTTAGAGCTCTGTGTTCATAATTTCATAATTGCATAACTGTACATTCATAACGGCATAACTGTACATTCATAATCCAAAAAAAAAATAACGCCGTTAACGGCAAAACGCGCGCGTTTTTTTTTTTTTTTTAACTAAATGACGCGTTTTTTTTTTTAAACGACGTCGTTTTGGGCCCGTGTCCACAATTCACTGTGGACACGAGTCCACGGCATAATTTGCCGTTTTAAACCAATTGTTTAGTCATTATTAGGTATTTAGGTCCACCTACATTGGGAACGTTACGCTGTGCAACTGTGCGCACCATACAAAATGCGCACAATTTCAACTCATAATTTTTATACTGTAAATTCATAAAATTTATATTGTAAATTCATAATTTCTAAATCATAAATTCATAATTTAAATGCAGTAGATTCACAATTTCTATAAAGTAGATTCATAATTTCTATGCAGTAGATTCATAATTTCTAAACTGTATAGTTATCAAATTATGATCATATAGTTCTGTGATTTGTGGGAATACAAAGTTTAACAATTGGGAATATGGACATTGAAAATTATCAACATATAACTTTATAATTATGAACATATATTTATAAAATTATGAACATATAGCTCTATCACATGTTCACAAATCTAATATTGTAGATTCATAATTTAAATACAGTAGATTCATAATTTATAAATTGCGCGATTGCAAATAGATAATGGAATGTTTGAATGCAAAAGGAAACCGCCTAACGCCGTTAACGGCAATGAAAAAATGATTTTTTTTTTTAATTTAGAACATCGTTTTGCGTTACACAGCATAATTTGCTCATGCATTGTACCTGCAATTAACACATTCCATATTCTACACTTTATGCACAATTAGTTTTCCATCACATTTTAAATTTTTAGACTTTGGATCTCCCAATAACTCATATGTCTTTTGTTGAACCATTGAGTTAAATCCATACGGTCCATTCATGATATAATTTGTCGTTTGAGATTTTTCCTACTTTGATCCCTTAACTATGATACCCCTCCCAAATTAGCTCACTAACTATCATAAGTCTTAGTGCATGAATATTCAATTGCTTCCACATTTGGTCCATTGTCCAATTTTTCACCTAACCTAAATTGAGAAAAAAAAAAACAAAAAAAAAAAAAAAAACAAAAAAACGTAAACCAACTTTTCGAAACTTTATTTTTTACTATTTGATACCTACATTTCAACTTGATTGACTTTTTTTAATATAAAATTGACCGACAAATTAAACGAGAGACCAAATGTATAATAAAAAATGGCCGATGATGAATAAGAATATCCCCTTCTCTCTATATTCTCTGTATTTTGTATTCTTGTACAATTTCTCAATTATTTACAATAAAATTAACCCCCTATCAATCGGATAGTGTAATTAGGTCCCCTACGTAAAATGAGAAAAAAAAAAAAAAAAACTTCATTCTAATCCCTTAAATCGGTAAATTTGTTCAATTGAGTTCGAATTTACTGGTTTAGCATGTTAATTCTATGTCTTTTAGAAAAAAAGTTTTATTTCTGTTTTTTGAAAAAAACTATTTATTTATTAGAAAAAATAAAACAAAACAAAAAATAATACAGACACAGACTGTCTAACGAGGACAGTCGGTAGCTGTCTCCATCTTCTAGATCTTAAACGAGGACGGTGGCCGGCGGCCCTCGTTCCAAACAACCATGGTGAGACAGCCTGGCCGTCTAAAATAAATAAATTGACATGGCCGTTTGAATTGGCCATGGTTGTTCTCACCATGACCATTTGGGACAAGGGTGGCACCACCCTTGTTCCAGATTTGGAAGACGGACATGACCATCTTTCTTTTTGTGACGGAGACAGCCACCAGCTGTCCTCTTGTGGACAGTCGATGGCTGAATTGTTTATTTTATTTTATTTTATTTTATAATTCTAAAAAATAAATAATTAGTTAAAAAACAAAAATAAAAAAGACACATGTGAAGAATTAACTTCTTAAACAAATCATTTTAAATTTAATTCTAACAATTTTTTCAATTTAAGAAATATGAATGAAACTTTTTCACTTAGGCAACTTAATTGCACTAACAGGGCGTTTGGTTGGAGATGGGGAATTATGTGGGAAAGGAATTGCAATTCCATGGGAGATGAATTACTTGGAATAAAGTGTGAATTTAAATTTCACTGTTTGGTTTACAGGAATAGAATTAATGAGAATTTTAATTCCAATGTTTGGTATACATGAGAATTGAAAGGGAATAAGTAGTATAAAGTCAAAAATATCCATTATTGTTGTTAGACATTAATTTTAGGTTAAAAAAGAAAAGGATAATTTTAACTCATTACTATCTTTTTTCCCAGGAATTAAAATCCCAAGAGGACATGAGATTTTAATTCCATGAAAATGTGAGAATTGCAATTCCTTTCAACTAAACAAAAAAAATTTTGTGACATTTGAAATTAGGTGAAAATTAAGTGGGAAGGTAATTTAAATTTCCTTCAACTAAACGCCATGTAAAAATCAATTTGACCATTTTTCCAAAGCCCTTTTCCGTTTTAAACTCTCACGATAGAAAGACGATGCAGAAAAGTCAAAAATGTTGGTCAATAAAAAAAATCTCCACATCAGCATATTATAACCTGTAACTTGATGACAACCTGCTAAAAGGTCTAGACGAATAAAATTTTATAGTTTGTGCATCGAAACAGCAGATATGAAAGTTCATGGTGCGGCATGACATATCGCAATTCGTTCATGGTGCAATTTGACACTTGAGCCTTTAGACAACCTAATTGCACTAAAAGTCAATTTGACCATTTTTCCAAAGCCCTTTTCCGTTTTAAACTCTCACGATAGTTTCCGTTGGACCGGAATAGACAAAATCATTTCAAATCCCTCGACCGCTCCCAATTGCAACTGTACTTAGCGCTGCTCAGACTGTACTCAAAGGAAAACCCAAATTTGCCGACGATGAGAGGAGCCGGGCGCCGTCGTGGAGGTAGAGAGTCAGCAGCGCCGGACCGTAGGCCCCCACCTCCCACTCCCACCGCGCTCAATCCGAACGATGCGTGGCAGTACACGTCGGCCGGAGGCGGCCGCGACTCGGACGCCAGCTTCGCCAGCAGCCGACCATCCTCATCGTCAATTGGCTTAAACCCTCGCTCCTCCGGCGTCCCGATCTCCGACCGGAACTACCAGCACTCTGCGATCCGTGCGATTAACGCCTTTCTCGCCTCTCACTCTCTCTCGTTCTCCCTCAAACCTCCGTTCCCTTCCGCCAAAGACATCACCGAGACCATCAAATTCATCCTCTCTCAATTTGGCGTCACCAAGTTCCAGAAGGTCGAAGATGACTTCCAGCACCTACTGAAATCCCTAAATTGCCCCGTCAAGGTGAACAAATCTGCACTTCGTGCCCCTGGAACTCCTCATTCCTGGCCCAGTTTGCTTGGCGCTATCCACTGGCTAGTTCAGCTCCTCATGTATGACGATAACCAGCTGAATTCCACTCAGATGCAGCTAACGTTCATGGAGAATCGGATGTTTAGGTATGTTCTCGAGAGTTATTCTCATTTCATTACCGGAAAGGACGACGAAGTGGACAGGGTGGACAGTACTTTCATGCAGGAAATGATGCAAGAAAAGGAAAGAGTTGCTGAAGAAATGATGGCATTGGAAAGCAATGCCAAGGAGTTGGAGGGAACTTTGGAGCGATTGAAGACCGGGCCTTCGGAGAGGGAGGCGTTGGAGAAGGAGAAGAGTATGTTGGAGTTAGATGTGAAGAAATTTCGCGATATGATTGAGCAGTTGGAAGGGCGAAAAGTGGCAATGAGTAAATTGTTGGAGGAGAAGGAAAAAGGCTTGGAGATTAAGAACACTGAGAAGGAAAGTATTTTGATTGAGAATGAAGAGTTGAAGAAGAGGGTGGAGGAACAGGGAATTAATGCCAGGGATGCTGATAGGATGAAGCGAGAATTGCAGGCTTTGGAAGGAAATATTGCAGAGATTGAGGCTGCAAGGAATAAGTGGGAGGAGAAGGTTTGGGAACTAGACTCCATGATTGGACAGAAGTATGAGAAACTCGAGGAGCTTATGATTGAGTGCAACCAAGCTATCCGGAGGTATCTTTACGATATTCATCAACAGCCTTTTGAATATAAATGCTTTCTTGAAGAATAAAACTCTAAGCTTGAATTTCCATTTCAGTTTTCATTCGTTTTATCTAATTGTATTATATCCGTTTTCAAAATTACAGGTTAAAACTAGGGAATGCATATCATTATCAGTTGAATGCAAAAGGGTCCTCGACCAGGGAGGTCTTAGGAATAGACTATAAATCTATCCTGAAGCCGGCACTTGCCTCCTTGGAGGAGGAAATGAAGAAAAGTTCCATGGAGAAATTGGAAGGCTTGATCTCTCTTCAGCAACAGTCCATAGACAAGACTACTAAAATTGAGGCAAAAAGGAATCGTCTCACCACTCTTCAGGCCCACATTGACGAGGTAAGCTAAGGCAGCATCCATGTGAATTGTTGTTGACTTGTTGGTGTCAATATATGACATGACATTTATGTATATGAGGATACTCTCTTAGGCTGTCTACAGCAAGGGGAGCCACTCATCTTGTCTCTGAAGGATACTGAGTTAAACTAGTTAATATTGATTGTTTAACCAAGTCAAACAGCTAATAGTGGTCAAATAAGCCAAAATTGGCTGATAAGCTAACTATGTTACCAAACAAGGCCAAACTCATTCATGAATAAACTATGTAGAAATGTGTGTGATCTAGGTTATGTGTTAAGATGAAAATATTACTGTAATTCAGAATGTTGAAATTGAGGGATTGATAGGTCTGGCGGGTGGAGAATAACCACCACCCGCCAGTTAGGCGGAAGCAAAATATGTGATAACCAAAGAACAAGAGAATATAGAGAATATATTATAATGAAAGAGTACAATAGATTGTCTCTCTTTTTATATCTGTTCTATACTTCAATGGACCTCTATATATACTAAACTAGATACTAAATTAGTCTAGGAAGCTACTAATAAGAATAGGAAACTAAGACAACTTTCCTAATATTCAACACAGAATAATAATGTCATATTTAAGAAAACACCATATAAATTATATGTAATGTTAAAAAAAAATGATAGAGCCAACTTATCTAATTGGATCAATTAATTTTAATTATTAAGAAGTGATATTTAGCTTTTTGTTATATTGGATTCATGTGGATTTAAGGAATGATATTAGAAACATATTTAACCAGTTACTTGAAAGATTTGTTATTCTCTTCCTTTGTGGTTGCTGTACTTTGAATATAGTTGTGACAATTTCCAATTGTAGACTTCTGAACATCTTTTAGAAGGTCCATTTGCTGCTTTGACAGCCAACAGCATCTCTCCTCTTCAAGAGAGTTTATTTTTTCTAGCTTTTGGCTTGATTTATGCCTGGCAGGATGTGAGTGAGTTAGTGCGTGTGTTACTGACTTCAAAATGTCAGTGTTTCACTAAAGTTCTGGAATTCTACCAGATTGATTTTAGAAAAAGACTTTTCTCCCTCTTTTTATGATGAGTAACCCAAAGAGTTTTACACCATATTCATAAGCTTGTTGGTTGGTATTAATAAGAAAGTCTACCCAAAAAATGGAACAGAAAAAGTAGCCCATGACTGAGCTTCTTAGTTTACTTCATTTGTTTAAAGCTACACTTTTAATATATTTGGTATCTTTTTGCCTTACATGGGGAAATATTATTGTTTTCACTAAGGAAATGAATTTTATTTTACAGTTCTGTGAACTTTACTTTCTTTGATAAACTAGGTTGAAGGACAGTTGGACTTAATGAGGAGGGAAACACTGGACTTCGCATCTAGATGTGCAACTGAAGCCAAAAAGATGGCAGAGGATATTGCAGCAGAGGCTCAAAATATGGACCTTGTCGAGAGAGAGGCAGCAGAATTCCTCAAGGTATGGTGATTTTTCATACTAGCTTTCTCAAATTAACGGTCATAATATGTGCCCGTGGTGTACAATCTCCAGAAATTGCCTTTCTATTTTATGGGACAATGTTCTATCCTTATAGGCTGTTACTTGTGCTTTTAAAGGCATCAAATGCCAAGTTGCAGGAAATAATCATGCAAACCGAAGAAGAAATCCAGCTCTGTGCTCGCGAACTCTTTGCTGTGGTGGATTCAGTATCAAAATATAAAGAGTACATGGCCTCGAGGACCGCAATTATGAAGAATGATCTCATAGAAACCTCTTGCAGCATAGCGAATATTCACAAAGGATCTTTGCCAGCACCATTCCCATTTGGGGTTGTATCTGGTGTACTGGATGCTAGCGTAGCATCTAACAATAAGTAAATATTTGTCTTTCTAAGCTTAGTATTCTTTTGCTGTCTTATCTTGAGGTCTGTGTATTTCGCCTTGTGTTGTCAACATTTTCACAAACAAATGCTTAATATTACCATCCTTTTATTGGTTCTTCAACAATTTTCTTTCTCCGCAAATTGAGTGCCCTTAATTCAAATTATGTATATACAACTAATATATTATAATTGAATGTACATTAGCTAAAAATGCGTAATATGTATGTACATTATTATAATCAATTAATTAAAAATATACAAAAAAAAAAAAAAAACATAATATGTATGTTCATTCTATTATACTCCGTGATCAACTAATTGAAAATATCTAGAATATGTTAATTGTATGTACATTAACTGGACCAGAATCCACGATGTAATGGTTGTTCTTTCTTTTGGCAGCCTGTATTGTAGCAAAATCACAATTAACTGGACCAGAATCCACGATGTAATGATTGTTCTTTCTTTTGGCAGCCTGTATTCTAGCAAAATCACAATATCCATTCACTCTACACAATAATAATAATAATCTGCAGAAACTAGTTACAGCCGCAGAGCAAAATTGCATAACCGGCGCAACATAAACCCGATGAAGCAATTCTAACAATTTCCTTTGAAAACGCACAAGAGAAAGAAGTCGGTATTTACAATTTGCTTCACAACCACAATCCTCTACACTACACACTACACACTGCAGACGCATAGGTCAAAAAAATGAGACTAAAGAATCAAGAATCAAGGAAAGCAATAATCCAGTTCTAGACTTCTAGTACAATTACGGTGCTCAGACACTTGGTGAGAAAAGCAATACCCTCGGTGGTGCTGGTTGTACTTCCAGGGACTTCGTTTCCAGGTTTACGAAATTATATTTCAGGTTCGAGCTCTCAAAACACCAAATGCACTTGTGCCTTCAATAAAGGCTCTAGTCTTCTTGATCCAGTAAATCCCGAGATTCATGCGGCAATGATAAGTGAGGAAGGAACGGCAGATCATAGTACAGACTACAGAGATCATATATACAATATGAATACCCATTTACTCTTGTAAAATCATCTACATTATAGTGTAGAAAGTGACAATTCCCGGCTGGAATGGCTCCATTGAATAATCTGATTGAAATAAACACGTGGAAAATGAGCAATGTCAAAAGGTTTCCATCCAGCATTAGTGATTTCACCCCCCAGCCCGGCCCCCCAAAATATAGTTAAATCAAATTTAATTAGAGGAACTATTTTTACCTCAGCCGTCACAGACCAATTAAGTTCCAAAATTATTTCACGACCTGGGAGGCACAGGACTTGCTGTCCTCAGAAATGGATGTTCCAATAGTTCAGCAGCAGTAGGCCGATCAGTTGGATTAACTTGTAAGCATTTACAGATAAAATCCTGAGCATCTTTTGACAAAGAATTAGGTATAGGAGGGAGTTCACCTCTACCAATTCGGAACAGTGCTTGCATCTGTCATGAAACCAAAGAAAATGCACTTAAAATTTAGATGCACATGAACAAGAACAAAAACTGTGCAAACATAAATACCATCCCAAATGGAGTGGGCGAGTGCATAAATGGTTTAACAATGTCTAGACCGAAGCAAAACAGAAGGTTTTATGGTTGCTTTTTTTTTTTTGGCGGGGGACTGAGGGGTGGGGTATCTGGTTTAATAATAAACTCCTTACATCATCATTTACTGTGTTCCATTCATCAAGATATGGGCAAGATCAGAGCTAGGAATCTAACTAAACAAAAGATTTCTTATGCTTACAGCCAAAATGTTGCAATAGAAATTACAAAACATATGCATCAGAAGCACTCAGATCAATTTGATACTAAAAATACCACTAGGGAAAGTAATTGTTCTTTAAAATTTTATATGAATTTGATATGAGGAATAATATGGACACAAGGGAGTCTGTAAAAATTATAAATAAATAAAAACCCTCCGTGTCATACCCTTTTATGATATGCCAATGCCATAACAAAACAGGCATGTGAGCTAAAGGCAAATGAAAAGATCATACATACCCCTTCTAAGTTAGAATATGGAATTTGGCCGGTTAACATCTCTAAAACAGTACACCCAAGGCTCCAAATATCAGCAGCACGCCCATAGCCATTGGTTTTCCGGTTAACAACCTGAGAATGGATTTATTAAGTAGAGATATTTTTTGAGTACTATTGACTTTGTTACAATGTAGTATCTGTCCATACATACTTTCTCAACCTATTGAAGCACAAAGAGTTAGCCACAGTTATGCCGCTTGACCACAAGGTCTTTGGCATTATATTAATTGCAAGAAAATATTTAGATCTTATTAAACTCCACTACAGAATAAAGGAATGATCAATAATAAAGAATATGGCCAACAAATGCACTTCTATGTCAAAATTGAACTTCTCTCCTACAAGGAATGTTAATTCTCAACATATGGAGTTCCTTGTTTATGAAGTAATAATTCCCCCCCCCCCCCCCCCCCAAAAGAAGGTAACGGAGGATCTTATTCTACCAAAAAAAAAAAAAAAATATCAACAATTAGCTTACATCAAGTATCTGAAGTGATACAAAAGCATCATTATTTTTCATATAAAAATTTTCACACAAACCCGTGAATATAAAACAATTAGCTTGCAAATACTTTTAATGGAGAAAGTAGAATTTCAAAGAAATAGACAAACCTCTGGCGCCATCCAGAATGGTGTTCCCTTGCATGATTTTATGTCATTCAGTTTTGTTGCCTGAGAAGAATCATCAAATCCAAGATTTTATGAAATCAAACTATCATACACGGCAAACAAACTTAAGAAGTACATGCGCAGAAAATACAAACCTTTGCCAATCCAAAATCTGCAAGTTTCACGGAACCATTTACATCTACCAGTATATTGGCACACTTTATATCCCTTAAAAGAAAAAAGAAACGAACACATATACAGAACAAAATCAGCAAAAACATATTTAAGAATTTTAGATTACTCTACTTGTTTGCAACAAACAAATGCAGAATATCAACTTGGTAGTCCTAAGGGGACAGCCTAGCAGATGCAAGCCACCCTCACAATAATAAGGCCATTGGTTCAGAACTTCAGATCCCTTATTCCCCAACAATGGACAATGGACAATGGACAAGTGTCATATGTCCCCACCAACACTCTCCCTCTTTCCCCATATATCTTGATTTTGTACCTAATATAGCAACCTCACACCCTTTGCATGTGAAAGAGGTGTTAAGTTAATGTTGGCTTCTCTCTCACATTTCCAACTTTACCATGCAAGAGAAAAATGAAAATGCTTGACAACAAATCTTGAAAAATGTGCTCTTTTTTTTCTCAATACAATGAGTACAACACTAATAACTAATATACTATTGAACACGCCCAATTACATGGTGACCAATAAATAAACTCAATTAGTCAATTATACCAACTCCTAAATAATAGTTACTAACTACTCACAAATAATGAGACTAAAATTGTTTCACCATGCATGCTCCCAGTGATTTGCAAACCCTTGACCTTTGGGTCAAGAGCCCTGACCTAAAGGTCTTTGCTAAATAAGCAAGCCTTGAGGTTAAATCTTGAAAAGAAACTGTGTTAAACCTGAATATATGAAAGGAATTGCATGTATACCTATGAACCACGTCACGTAAATGAAGATAATGTAATCCGCTTAAGATTTGCTTAGTGTATGCGGAAACCTGGGTATCACGCAGTTGATACTTGCGGTAAAGACTTGCTAGCGAACCTTTAGGTACAAGTTCAAGGAAAATATAGAGTTTGCTATCACCCTGCAAAAATAATTTCAACTCATTTTCAGAAGAGTAAAACGGATCCCTATAAATGTCGTGTGGGTGTGTAACACTGAGTTCATTAGATAAAGTATAATGAAAGCTTAGATTATCAATTTTAGGAAGTTAATATTTTGCTTCAGACAGTAAAAAAGAGAAGAAAGCAATTTAATTGGGAACAGAAGTATTCCATTCCATCCACCAAGGGCCAATGCATTTACTATGATTTTTCTTTTTTTGGGAATAAGTAACCAAGGGAAACTACATACTAGTCATGATTCATGAAGCAATACTTTCAACAAATAGGAGAATGAGAATCAAAAGACAATCATGTACCTTGTCTGTTCCAAGATACCGAACTATGTTTTCATGTTCAAACTGACTTAAAAGTGAAATCTCCTGGAAAAAGACACAAAGTGTAAGGCGAAGAAAGAACCCAATAATATCCAATCAAAATTACTTGTGTAACTTTTATTTGAAGTTCTATAAGTTGTATACAACTATACATGACCGAAAAAGTGGAACTTATATTCCAGGCATTACAAAATCTTCCTACCTGTTCAAGTTGAAAAATGCTTTGCTGGCCTTGGTTTCCAGTGGCAAGTAAAGAAACTTCCTTTACAGCAAAAAAGAAGCCATCACTGCACATGAGAAATTTCAAGAAAGAAAAGTTTTACTTATCGAGAGAGGGAATGAGAGTAAGATAGTACAACTCTATATACAGAATTCTTTCCATTTTTGGTCACTCAATTATAGTAACACTTCCACTTTAGCCAGTCCACTTCAAAACCAGAGAGTAGTGGTCATGTGAGTGATTGAGTCTTTCAAAATGGGCATAGTTACTCCTCCCATTAGGTTCAATTAGATACCCTAACAATTTTCCAATGCAATGCAATGCTAGTACCCCAACAATTGAAAATTAGACATAAATAGACAAATAGTCCTGTTAGGGTTTCCACTGAAACCTAACAGAAGGACTAAAACCGTCCATTAGAAAAACTCTATCAGTCTTGCCCATTTTTAAATCTAGTGGCCAAAGATGAAACACCTCTATAATTTAGGTGCCATAAGCAGAATTACTTCATTCTAAAAAGGACATAGCTTAGAACAGATATACATTAAGGGCGAATATGTAGATTACATTAGGAAGAAAAATACTTCTCCTAAAGAGAAGATGAACGTAAAATAAAAAAGCGAAGACAACTGAACAGAAAAAAATAAAAATAAATAAATAAATAAATAATAATAATAATAATAATAATAATAATATAATAATAAAAGAGATAGCATGGATGTTATCCTATTAAAGGAACCAAAAGCCAAAGGTGCACCTCAAGAGGTGGAAAATTAGCAGTAAAATCTCTGGTCTAGAGTAGTATACAGAGTATCACAAAATGGAGTTTGTGAATTTTGAAGCTTGTTTATAGCATCTTAAAAAGTGGTTCATATTTCACTTTTAATTTGAACACTCTAGTGCTATTCTAGCTTTAGAAATCTGATTTTCCATCTTCATGTTTTTTTAAACTATCAAATTCTGTCTTAGAACAAGATTCAATACCCTGAAGGTTCTAGCACTTCAGCCCTTGAAACACAATGTCGGCATGCATGATAGAGGTGCACATTTGATACCGATATATGAGATATAAGACTTATTAAAATAGGGTGAATTCGTTGATAAAGGCATAAATAAAAATCATACCCAATATACAACTTACTATAAAAAGAGCATATTTGTTGATAACATCATGAATAAAAATGGATGCTCAGATATAAGACTTACCCAGTGTAGCCTTCATAGACTGTTCCAAATGATCCACTGCCAAGAAAGTCACCCCTTTGCCAAGTCTTTATGCTGCACCTGAAAGAACCATGAGCTGAAACAGTATACATAGATTCAGATTCTGTTTTCAACGTGTCTGGATCATCATCTTCATTGCAGTCACTGTGTGAATCCGAAAAAGGTTCTGGCACCAGACCAGCACCATCTATTAAATTATCATTTCTTTCTTCATTGTCATTTGCATTTCCAACATCCTCAGTTCTTTGGAAGTCTTCTGAATCGGTTGGGCTATGGTGAGAGCTGCCCCCATACACACTAGAACCCCCACTAATACTCCTATCTAAATCCCAAGGTTGGCCCAAATTATCTACAACTGATTCTGGAGCAGCTAATCTCGGCGGCCTCGCGCCCTTAATTCCACGGCCACCGTCTTTGCACAAGTTTTCATCTGTGGTTCCAATTTCGTCGCCTATTCTAGCCCTAGCTTCGTGTCCAGCGACATCTAAACAGTTCTCCACTTCATCACCATTCCTAATCACAGCGCTAGTAGCAAAACTATCAGCCAGCCTTTCTGCATCCAAAACCCCACTACGCGTAAGTCTAGAGCTCCTTACAGTGTTGGAAGCTGAGGAGCATCTCCGAGCCTCCCAAGCAGCAGTCGGAATCGCGAAATCTTCAGGGGAAAGCCCTAGAGAGCGGCAAATTTGGTCAAATTCGCCCTCAGTCCCTTCAATTCGGAAGCTCGTCCTCTCAGATAGCGGGATAAAGTCAAGCGATCGGGTGCGTGGAGTTGACTGGTCGTTGAACGAACAAGACGCCGTCGAGGCGGAAGCCTCGTAATCGATGCTCTTGATGGCGTTTCGCCGGTCAAGGCGAGGTCTCGACCCCTTCGACTTCGCATACATCCCGGTTATCTCCCTCCTTCACCCCCCTCTGTACCGGCAGTTATACACAGAGCGATAAAGGTGAATTTCCAGAAGAATTCAGAACAGACGGCTTGACTTTGCCCAGGCTGCTGTCTCTGTAAAACCAACGAGGTGATAAGTATGGGGCGTCTTCCCGGGGCGGGTGGTTTTGATTTATGAGTTACTGAGTTGAACAAGCCGCTGAAAATGAAATCACGCGTATAGGAGGGAAACCGTGAAAATGAAATCGTCACCCGTTGCCTCATGGCTCCCTAGAAATTAGACTGACTTTACTTTTTCTTGTGAAAAACTAATACGGAGTACTTTTTCTTTTTGATGTACAACTTCTCCACCAAAGCTTGATCTTATGACCTCTACATGTGTGCTACGCCTTCATTATTGAGGCATGAACTCACAATCTCTCATACGAGAGTTCAACCCAAATTCCATTTAAGCACAATGTGCTTGGCCAGTGACTTTCAGATATCATACTAAAAAAAGTAAAGTATTTGTTATTCATAAAAAAAAAATGTAATAAACATTTTATTCATGATTAATATTATATTATTCAATATAAATATTACATTTTCATATTAACCCGACTTGTCTAATATGGACAGAGATCTGTAAAATAATCTCACACAAATTTTTACTCTCTTTTTTTTTCTTCAACCTTTTTTTACCCATTTTGTTTTCAAAGTATATTAAACATAATTACTCTATTTTGTAACATAGTTTGCCTAAGAATCAAATTTTGCTTATTTGATCAGTATTAGTTGTTTGACTTAGTTAAACATCCAATATGAGTGATTTATTAATTAAATTTTTGAAACAATTGACTGTTTCAAAACGTTAAAATTCAAAAAGATGCTCTAAGCAGCTTTTTTCAGTCAACTTTGTGAGACAGTTATTTTTCATGTAATTAGTTATCATATAACAGCTAATTTTGCCAAATATATTTATACCATCAGCTAATGATATCAATTAGTAAAACCAGTAACCCAATCAGCTATCAGCTAACAACTATTTACCAAACACTCTCAATATCATTTCCCTTAAGGCCTTACAAATAATTTATAAGTGAATGTTTTACATTTTGAAAATATGAGGTAGCGACTACTTAATTGTGTATATTGTATAAATCTCACCTTGTAATTATAATTAGTAAATAAACTATCACAATAAAATAAATCAGCATATGTTTTTCATATATAATCGGCTCATACTAAAATAGCAAATAAGCCGCTTATAATATTAGCCAAACTTTAATTGTATGTGGTTACTAAATAAATAGTCTGACAATTTTAAATATAATTTTGATACCTTCTATAGAGCATGTGGTTAACATAAATTGAAATTGTATTCCTACATAATTTCTAAACATGCAACAAATCCCACCCCCTAAAATTAACTTTGTAGTGTAATAAAAGAATAGTGTAGCTTGCACTACACAATTTAATTATCTTATTATAGTTGGTGTACCATTAATTGAGTTACATAATTCTATAAAATTTTACTCTGTAGTTTTTATACAATGGGTTTTTATTTATTTATTTATTTTCTTTTTTTTTTATATATATAAGAGAGAATGAGTAAATAATAGAGAATAATTAATCACTTTACAGAGCGTTTGGTTGAAGGGAATTTAAATTTTCTTCCCGCTTAATTCCAAAGGCCATAAAATTTCCTTGTTTGGTTGAAAGGAATTGCAATTCCATGGAATTACAATTCCTCCATTTTCATGGAATTAAAATCCCATGTGTCCCCTGGGATTATAATTCCTGAGATTTTAGGAAGAAAAAAAGACAGTGATGAGTTAAAATTACCCGTTCCTTTTTTAACCTAAAATTAATGTCTAACAACAACAATGGACATTTTTGACTTTATACTACTTATTTCCTTTCAATTTTTATGTATACCAATAATTATATTCCAGTAAACAAAACATTGAAATTTAAATTCTCACTTTATTCCCAGTAATTCATCCCCATAGAATTGTAATTCCTTTGTCACATAATTCTCCCTCTCAAATCAAACGCCCGGTTAAGTGAATAAACGCTAATGATGTTCATAATAAACATGGATATGAATGCAGGATCCTTTCGCGCGGATTTTAAAAAATCTGAAAATTAGTACAAAAATAATATATTTTACCACTTTGTCACCCCTTTGCAGTAATTTTTAATTATTTAATTTTACGTGTTGGAGCAACGATGCTGTCAAACTACGAAATCTCACACGTAAAGAATGAGAAAACAACAAAATGTAATTTATCTGTTTCGAGGTCAAACAAATAATATGAGTCAAGAAAAACCCATAATTATTTACGAAGAACACCGCAAAATGAGATTTCATCTTACTTCAAACACGCTACACCAAACATTCTCAATGGCTTGCAAAAAGTGTCAATGTCCACAAAATAAAATACAAAAAAAGTATAATTAATATTTAATACTGGTCTATGGAGGGCATAATATGATAAAAAACTACTTATTACTCCATATGCCTCAATTTATGTGACATACTTAATATTTATTTATCAAACTAACTATTTCTTATTTGTTTTTTTATTATTATTTTTTATTTATTTTTATATTTGATTTTCTTTTGTTAAATCATATTTTTAGTATAGTTTATAAATATATAGATTTTGTATAATAATATTTAATTAACTTAATATTATGAAAATTTGAATTAAAAATATCTTCAAACAAGTTTCGTTAACTAAACCATACACATAAAATGAGACAGAGAGAATAATATATATATCTTTTCAGTATAATAAAGGTCCTTGTATCTTTGCTCGATTTATGTGGGTCTCGAGAATGTATTGTTTGATGATTGTCAATTGGCATGACACTCCTGTAGATAGTAGAGTTTAATTACCCGTTTAGATTTTTAATTGAGATGAAACATGTCATTTAATTTAATATTAGAGTCAACCCAATGCAATAGGTTATGAGTTTATGTATCACCACATCACTTGATAAAAATATATTATCACTAATATAGTATAGTACAACTATCAATTTAAACTTTTAATTGACATAGAATGCATCATCTAATTTATGTTTTATTTAATATATATATATATATATATATATATATATATATATATATATATATATATATATATATATATATATATTAAATAAAACATAAATTAGATGATGCATTCTATGTCAATTAAAAGTTTAAATTGATAGTTGTACTATACTATATTAGTGATAATATAGGGTGAGGTTCAAGTGAGGTTATTGTGTTAGGTGAGGTCTGTGGACAATTTGCAACCATGAGATCACACCATCTAACAGCTGTAAAGTGCACAATGTGAGAAATTAAAAGGTCACTGAATAAGACAAGTAACTGAATGAGTAATTAATTATGGGAAAAAAAAGGTAATTAGGTAAATGTTTGTGCACGATGGGAAAGGAAAGGCTGAAGTCACCGAGTCTGTACCGCGTAGAGTTTAAACGGCTGGTGTCTAGTCAATGTGTCGGCATTGCACAATAAACAGAGTGGGAAGAGCAAGCGCGAGGGCGAGAAAGAGAAGAAGACCTGTCCGACGACACAAGAAGAAGACATTGGCGAGCAAGCACGAAGCTATGGCGGACGGAACCCCAAGACGAAGTCACCGGCGTGCATCGATTGAGGAAACAAGTAGACTTCGTAAGCATCAACGATTAATTTTTTTGTTATTATGAATGTGTACAAAATTGTATTGCATGTGTGCGAAATTGGCTGCTTGAACACAGTGCGTTAGAGTGGATTTTGGGTAAGTTTGTTTGTTTGTTTTTTTTTTTAATAATTAAAAATGATGGAAACTTGCTGAGTTGATCGGACTCTATTGAAGTGTCACCGGTTGGGGAGGACCGGAGGACGGCAAACTGACGGTGGCCAACACGGGGGAGGGGGGGTTCCGGTTGTGGTTTTTTTTTTTGTTTTTTTTTTTTTTTTTGCGGATAATAAAAATTGGCCGACCATGGGTGTGGAGTGTCGCCGGCCGTATGAGCAACGCTGCTTGAATTAGGGTTCATGCACAAAAACACCACTTGGCTTGTTTGTTTTTGTGTGCATTATTACAAATTGATGGTGGGAAATATGGGGTTCATTGCGGGAACAGATTGGGTGTGCTGCTGATGAACATGATACTAGAATATGCAGAATTGGTAAAAAAGTAATAAACATGCATAAATTGATGGCTGCACAGATTTGGGCAAAAAATAATGGGGGACCACAAACCTAGTAGTTGGATAAAGAAAAAGTTTGGTTTAAGTCCAAAGAAGAAGGTATTTGCTGGACCACTATTGTTTATAATGATAAGCTCCTAAGTTCAAATGGTTTCATAGTTATGTACTTTTGATCGTTTGTGAAAACAGCCCATATTACATTGGTACTCTATTTGACTATGCAAAAAAAAAAATGGTATTGCAGATGCTATATGTAGATAGGATTGTGAACCCCATTCGTTATGTGGAGCGCCAAAGGCCGCCATTCTAAGGTTGGACAACGAAGTTGTTAAATGAGCGTGAATTTGCAGAAAAAAAGAGGAGGATTTGGTTTAGGGAACATTGAACATCCCTTGGACATGCAGGAGGATATGAATGAGGTGAGTATTGTTGGATTTTATGAGGAAAAAAAAAACAAGATACTGGTTGCACAGTTTATATTGGTGAATGTGCACATTGAAGTACTAGATAAAAAGTAAGACCGTGTTGCATACTTGATGACACTAGGATGGAGGCGAGACTGCGGATGAAGAAGATATGGAAGCAAACGAAGAATATGAAGAAGAGGATGCAATGCAGTTAAAAATTTAGAAGATTATTAATAATGTCAATAATGTGAAAGTAAAAACTGTAAACTGCATGCTATTGCACAAAACCGTACTGATCAACATGTGGTCGAAGTTGAATGTGCAACTGAATAACTGTCTAATGTGCAAACGTGGTTTGGTTTACAGAGAACTTTATATTCTTCTGAAGGACAAAATCCACAGTTTACAAAACTGAAGGACAAGTCCATTGTTTAAATTGCTTCTGGGTGCACATATTACACAGTTGACTGTGCACGGTTAAGTAAAATTGCTTTGGTAAGCATCCCGCATTTTATGTTTGTATAATTAGATGAGTTTGATAATAAAATAAAGATGAACGAAATGTGCATTGCTATGATATAATAAAGTGCAGAACTGTTTGATGAAAGAGTAATGGTTGGTGTGTATAAAGTTGTGAATATACTGTGAAGTTGTGTGATAAAATTAGTGGTCACACGTAGTAATAAACGGTGCATTTGGATGAATAAATATTTTTCATTTAGGACACCATTTAATGTGCATTACAGCGCATGGTATGGACCGTGACAAAAAATTAGAGCGTACCTACTATTTTTTATAATGAAAGATGGTGACCGAAGCTCAGTTA